CCGATATTCTGTTGTCCAGATGTTGTCAGAAGTGGTCCAAGTCCTCTCCATCTGCCAGCTCTTGTTCCCTCAGACTCTCTGGGAAGCTGGATGGTAGAACAGGGACATCATGGCCACTTGTGTTATAGCCTGAGGACTTGGACAAGTCCAGGGTGGGCCTTCCTGGGATCCAAGTGCAAGGGAATACTGTGATCCCCAAGCAGGAACATCTTGGCTCCCAGTGATGGATTTTATCCTAATTTCCAGGGCAACTGCTTGCTGCCTGCATTGCCCTTGGAATCCCGGGGACCCTTGCAGGACAGTGTTCTCTCATCCACACTATATCTGAGACTCCAGCTCCATGGAGATGCACCAAGACCCACACCTGAGCCAGGCTCCTAAAGGAGAAACCCATCTATAGAAGAAGAGAGAATGAAAATTATTCTAACCAGTCCTGGGCCACCCAGACAGTGGGCACCAAGCTGAGGAGGACAGTGGGGGCTGATGTTCAGCCAAGTGGCCTTGGGGTGATGAACGTAACTTTTTCTGATTCCCATGAAGGCATGCTTGGACTGGCAGGAAGTGGCAAGAATCCACATCTGAGCAGGGTATAGGTTGGCAAGGGCCAAGTGGCTGGAATGTGGGACAGGTGATAATGGTGAGGGGAGGCAGGGGTTTCTGTGTTCTTGGCCCCATATCCCAACAAAGGACACAGGCTATGGGCCCTGCCAAACGGGCTCAGCCTCCATAATCTGTCCCCAAGTGGTCTGAGTTGACATGGGACCTGGGTTGACCCCCTTGGAAGAGAATCAAGCTTGGGGCAATGGTCCCCAATTATGCCCTCTCTTGCCATTTTGTTCAGATGGGATCCTCTTCCATTCACCTGAATCTCCAAGTGGTGGTGGGGTGGTCCATATCAGCCTTCCTGCCCCCCAGAAGAACAATCTATCAGATCGTAGCCATCTGATTTCCCACAGGTTGGTGAATAAAAATTATTAGGGAGAGTTGGGCAGAGACTTGCATGGGGAAATACATGGAGGCAGAGCAGACAAAAACCCAAGTCAAGATGCCAGGACATGTCTTCTCCAGGTGGGGTTGTTGGCCAGGGGAGAGCCAGCTGGGGAAGTTGGGCCCACCCTTAAATCTCCCTCCTCCCATATTTCTGGACCCAGGGGCCTAAGAGGTCTCCCAGTGGAGACAGGACTCTTCATGGCAGTTATTGATGATGGTGAAGAAGATGGATGATGTGTTGGAAGACACATCCTCTCAGCTTGTGAAGTATGTTGATGCCATCTCTTTCATTTGCTTTATGAAAATAAGATGCCAGATGGGCAAGGAGTATATTCCAAAATTGCATAAGTGACCCTCTGCATAAGGTTCTGAGCCTTAAGATTTAGAAGGGGACAAGATTCCAGGATGTTCTCTGATGACTGGAGAAAGTGTGCTGAGTGATCCCAAACCTCATGGAGGAGGAGATGGAAGACACAAGGGAATTCTTACCTTCACACATGTTCTCACTCTCATTCCTGAACATTCTTGCCCCAGAAGCAAGTTCATATCCTGGAATGCATGTGCAGTAGTAGCTCCCCTCTGTGTTCTGGCAATCTGCAAATTTTCCACAGGACACTGCTGACGGTGATCTACCCTCGTTGACATCTGGAACACAACAGGGCAAAGGGTCACCTCAACATATTGTGAGTTCCCATAGGGCAGAGACCCTGGCTTCCAGCCCCACTCTGCCATAGAGACTGGACAGAACTCAGCTCACAGTTTGCTGTATGAACTGAAGCCAGGTGCTCCGAGCACCTGCTCACTATTCTGCTCACCTCTGCTCTCTGGCTGGGTGTGAGGACACCGAGATTCACTCTGCTCTGCCATCATGGGGGCTGGAAGGGGTCAGCACCTTCTTCCTCAGGTTTCGTGGGGATAGACAGAGGCATTGAGTCTCTGCTTGCACTATTGGGGACCTGAGGGTGGGCTCTAGTCAGGGTGACAGTGGCACTGAAAACCCCTGAGTCAGTGAAGGGAGTCAGGGCTAGAGTCTGTCCAGAGTAACACTCTTTCACACCTGAGGGTAAAACCAGGTGGTCAGGTCCCTGCCTACTGAAAGCCTCCACCTCCCATTACTCTCAGAGGTCCAAGTACACCCCTGAGTCCTCATCGAGTACTCCTCCAGCTCCAGTGTCAAGCATTTTCAAAATGCCTCATGGGGAGCCTGGGTGCCTCAGTTAAGAGTCTGCCTTGGATACAGATGTAGTGAAAAGAAGGGCCATCTGTACCCCCAATGTTTATAGCAGCAATGGCCACGGTTGCCAAACTGTGGAAAGAACCAAGATGCCCTTCAACGGACGAATGGATAAGGAAGATGTGGTCCATATACACTATGGAGTATTATGCCTCCATCAGAAAGGAGGAATACCCAACTTTTGTAGCAACATGGACGGGAGTGGAAGAGATTATGCTGAGTGAAATAAGTCAAGCAGAGAGAATCAATTATCTATGGTTTCACTTATTTGTGGAGCATAATAAATAGCATGGAGGACATGGGGAGTTAGGAGAAGGGAGTTGGGGGAAATTGGAAGGGGAGGTGAACAATGAGAGACTATGGACTCTGAAAAACAATCTGAAGGGTTTGAAGAGGTGGGGGGTGGGAGGTTGGAGGAACCAGGTGGTGGGTATTAGAGAGGGCACGGATTGCATGGAGCACTGGATGTGGTACAAAAACAATGAAAACTGTTATGCTGAAAATAAATTCAAAAAATTATTTAAAATAAATAAATAAATAAAAGAAGAAAAAAAAAGAGTCTGCCTTTGGCTCAGGTCATGATCCCAGGGTCCTGGAGTCAAGCTACACATTGGGTTTCCTGCTCAATGGGACGTCTGTTTCTACCTCCTCCTCTGCCCCTCCCCCATGTGCTTTCTCTCTCTCTCTCTCTCTCAAATAAATAAATAAAATCTTAGAAAAGAAAAAAAAAGATGCCCAGGATGTCTCTGGAAGAGTCTTGCTGCCTCCAACTCTGGAGGAAGTTTCTCTTATCTAAGTCATCACAGATATGAAATGAGAACACAAAATGCAGGTTCTCACAGTTGAGTGAGTGGGGGTGTTTCTCTCCCTGTTCTCTAAACAAGAAAGGAAAGAGTTCCATGAGTCAGGTCCCCTTTGAACAGCTCAGGGACCTACATAGCAAGGGCTACACATCACTGGTTGAAAATAACAGTTTAATAAGAACAAGCAAGACAAGAATGTATCAAAAGGCAGGGAAAGAATGTTTTCTCCTGTACATTCTCAACAGGGAACCAAAGACTTTTAGAGCCTGAAAGGACTCTTGGCTTCATTCTGGTTCAGGGCAGGCAACTAGTCCACCCCTCAAACTCATGGACATACCTTCTAAGACCATAGGCTCAGGATGTGGGTGTGAGCACCAGAACATGACAAGATGTGAGAAGATGCACACTGGATGCATTCATGTTCACTCCCATATGGACAGTAGGACTGCCCTCCTCTTTTCTAAGATGGTGGCAGTGACTGGACACTTGTCTTCAAGGCCATTAGGTGGGGTGGAGTGGAGTGGGGGACAGGTGGGAATGAGGTGTGCGGGAGGGGAAGACATGATGATGAGAAATTCTCAGCCTGACATGTGTGGTCCCAGAAAGGAACTGAGATCCAGTCATACCAACCATGTCTCCTCACCATGTTCACCCAGCCACAAGTCTCCATAAGACACACACACAAATGCACGGGGATCCATTTGGGACACCTCTCAAGCTTGGAGGGGCAGGATGAGAGTCACGACACTGCCTTTTTTCTTAATAAGATTTATTTTCCCCCTCCCCTAAATATCAAATGACACACGGATACTTAGAAGACAAATAAAATATGGGAAAAAAAAGAAAACCAAAAAAAATAAAATATTAAAAATTTAAAAAAAAAAGAAAACAAAGAAAATCAGTCATAAGTCCACTACACAGACTACTGGGAAATTTTAGGGTATTTTTTTCCTATCTTTTCAAATGTATTAAGAATAAATATTCTGGGTGAGCTCAAGCTAAGAGGAGGGGCTGAGATTCAAGGGCCTGGGTGTTTTTTCCCTCCTGTTGCTTCCACTACTCTCCCCTTTCCTTATGCTATGAGACTAATCATAGTAATAATGGAAGTGACCGTGATAATAGCTTGTTTTTGATGATCTGCTCTATACTACTCTTTACTTATTCTTTACACACACAAAAAAAAAATTAAGATTTTATTTATTTATTTGACAGATAAAGATCACAAGTAGGCAGAGAGAGAGAGGAGGAAGCAGGCTCCTTGACGAGCAGAGAGCCGGATGTGGGGCTCAATCCCAGGACCCTGAGATCATGACCTGAGCTGAAGGCAGAGGCCTTAACCCCCTGAGCCACCCAGGCGCCCCTACACACAAAAATTTTAAATCTCATTCCAACAATGTAGGGTAGGTACAGTGATTATCCCCAATCTACAGACAAGCAAACTGAGCCATAGAGAAGACATCTTCTCCCCATCACCTCCCTCCACCATCTCCATGCCCCTCCACCACCCCAAACCCCTGTACCATCACAAGTGTCCAACAAGCTGGCAAAGATGTCCCCAAACAAAGAACTGAATCCTGGGGAACAGCTACAGGCAGTGACATTGACACATGTGGATTTTGGAGGGCACCATCTGGGGAGGCAGAGGCTGTGGGGACAAAGACAGTCAGAACGCTCAAGAAATGGAGGGAGCCAGCTACCAACTGTGTGTCTAGGAGCAGAGGAGAGGAGGTGAAGGAAGAAGAGGGATGGCTGCCATTGAAAGAGGAAAAACAGAAAACTCTAAACATTTGGGGAGTTGGAAGTGGGGTTTTTTTAATCACCTGAAGACCAGAACCTCACTTGAAGAATATACTTCCCTTTCCACCCTTGTTGGTGGAAGAACCCAGGCTCCAGCATGCACTCCCCAGCTTGTGTCACCAGTAGGGTTGGCTGGGCAGACTCACCACTAGTCTTCTGGGCTGAAGCTCCCAATGGTAACAGCAGCAGCATCAAGAGTCCTGGGACAGAAAAAAAACAGAGAGATGACAAAGAGATGAGATGGAGCTCCAGTTTCAATCCTTGTCCTCATGGCCACTGCATCCTGGAAGGTGGCTCTGATGCTGCAGCCCATGGCTCTCCCAAAGCTCTAGTAATTTATGAAGATTTGAAGACCAGTCCTCTTCCCTCCCTCTCCCCAAACTCCCTGAGTCAGTCACTAACAGATACCAACATGGAGCTTCAGTGCTATAGGTAAGGGGACAGAATATACACAGGTGATGTCAGGGGCATAAATTAGAAATTCCAGCTTCTCCTTATGGAGGGGTAAATATTTTTTGAAGAAATATGTATTTATTTGAGACAGAGAAGAAAGAGCACAAGGTGGGAGAGGGGAAGAGGCAGAGAGAAAAGGAGAAGCAGACTCCTCACTGAGCAAGGACCCTGACTGGGGACTGGATCCTAGGACCCAGGGATCATGACCATACCAAAGGCAGACGCTTAACCAACTGAGCCACACAGGTGCCCCAGAGGGGGTAAGTCTTGAAGCACAAGGTCTACAGATTGGTGTGCTATGCCCATAGCCAGGTCTTTGCTCTCTGGCAATGGCAAAATCTGCCTGCCTGGAGGAATTCTTTCCAGGATCACTCCCTCCTGTTGAACCCACATGTTTTGGAGCACACAAGAAGAACATGGGTTTGGGAGTCAGCCAGCCCCAAGTCTGAGTCCAACCTCATGGTGGTATTGGCCAGGCAGGGAGCGTTGGAATCATGAGAGGAGAAGCTAATGACAGGTGAGGGGTGTGAACAATGGCATTGGCAGTTCCGCCACCATCTCCTGGTTAAGTGGCCTCTCCAGGCACAACACCCATGGCTTCTGTAGTTCCTTCAAAGTGACATCCTGGCTGTCCAATGGTGCACCAAGCGCACAGCCTTTCCCTTTATCTCACAGTCTGGTCATGAGTGATGGGTCACCAGACAGGCTTCATGGTATGGAAACCACTGCAGGTGTGAAGGAATCTGTCCTACAGGCAACCATCTGATCACCTGTTAAAGTCTGTCATTCCACTCATGGGAGGCATGATGCTGCTGTGAAGGTGGTTCTTTAAATGAGATTAACAGTGAAATCAATAGATTCTGAGTAAAGCAGATATTCTGGAAGGGCCTCATCTAATCAGTTGAAGACCTCAGGAGGAAAAAAGATTGACCTCCTCTAAGAAAAAGAATTCTGCTTCCAGACTGACGTCAGACTTGAGATCAACATCAATGTCCCTGGAAACATCCCTGGGGTTCCAGAATGCCCTACAGATTTTGGCTTCCGAACTTCAACAATCTCCTAAACCAATTTCTTAAACTAACACATTTTTCTTATCTGTCTGCGCACACACACACACAGAGAGAGAGAGAGAGAGAGATACATATATAATCTCTATACATATATGTACATATACCAAACTTGGTTCAGTTTCTCTGGAGAACTAGGTCGCATATAGGCCCAAAAATTAGAAAGCCCTGACAAGTCCCCACGGTTGCCCTAGAAATAAGTTCTGCCTACTTTTTCTTTGAGAACTTGATAGAACTGAGTTAATACCATTCTTAAAATCTCTTCCTTCTCTCCCTTACAGAGACAGTGGGAAAACCAGAAATAGAGCAAAAAATCAGAAATAAAGCAAAGAACAGAGCAATTCTCAAAAGGGATAGAGTTCCCAGGTAGCTTTAGTTGCCCTATCACCATTGTTATAATTCTGCCTACCTGGAAGCAACCACAGATGCCTGTTCCTCATAGTGCCTAGTGAGCCCAGCCATGGAGAATGCCATCTGGTCTTGGTCTGGGTGTACTAAAAGACTTTGTGCTTTAAGTCTGACTTAAAATATACTTCATCATTGGATGAACTTAGATGAGCTGTGCAGTAACCTGCTGGTCTGGATGTTTCTTTCCCCTGTTTTCCCCATCATGAACATCTCTGAAACTCACACTTCTCTTTTTAAGTATTTCCTTAGCATTACTAGTATTCCTCCTGAAAGCCTCCTTGCAGTTTTTTCTTTCTTTTTTATGTAGGAAGACCTCCAAACATGAAGAACAATTTCAGTGGTGTTTTGGCCCCTGTGAGGTCTGTGGTTCAGAGTGAACAGATAGTTTTTTATCTAATGATTATCTATTCACAGACTTCCTCTTTTAAGATTTTATTTTAAAATAAACATAGATTGACAGGAAGTCTCAAAAACAATTCCTAGAAACCCTTCCCCTGGCTTCCTGCAAAAGATGCATTTCATGTATATACGTATTTTTATGTAACAATAGTCAAATATGTAAACCAAGAAACTGACATGAACACAATGTGCATGTATACCTCTTTGACATCTTATCACATGTGTAGATTCCTGTAACTGTCACTGCAATAAAGTAGATAAAGATCCCATCACCACAAAGTTCTCCCTCATGCAACGCCAACATCCCTAAACCCTGGCAGTTCTAGAACCAAGTTGTTTTTACTTTTCAGCAATACTCAACACAGTCTGAGATTCATGTTCATTGATGAGAAAATATTCCTGATATGTTTTAAAAGATAACATATCTCCAAATATTTCATTTATATTTATTCATTATATTTAAACATACCTCCAAATATTTCACTAGTCTCTGTGGTAGAATTATGATTTTTCTTTACATTTTTTACATTTTCTTCATTTTCTCCATTTCCATATATATTAATCAGCAAGTGCTACCATAATAATATAGTACTAATGAGTTGGCTTAAACCATGAAAATTGCTTTTCAAATTGTTCCTGGAGACTGGATTCCCAGGTCAAGGTGCTTGCAGGGTTGGTTTCAGCTGAGAGATCTCACTTGGCTTATAGTTGGCTGCCTGCTACCTGTGTCCTCCTATGACTTTCCTCTGGATGTGGACAGAAGGGGGGAGGGGAGAGAGAGAGAGAAAGAATAAGTAAGAGAGAGAGAAAGAGAGGGAGGATGGAGGGAAAGAGAGAGAGATCACTCAAGTCCTCTAGTTACAAAGACAGAACTTCTCCCTCTGCATGCCCCAGAAACAACTTGAGCACTGCCCTGTTCACTCTTCCTCTTTCCTGCATTTCCTTGAAAAATGGCTTCTTTGCTGCTCCCAGGACTGAGGACTCCAGATGCCCACACAATCTTGGACGGGCCCCTCCACCATCTTCAAGCCTCGGTACCTTTACAACATATCATGGGATTGCTAAAGATCTCCCCAGATGGAAATATGAATCTGGATAACAACAACAGAAAGGGGCACTGAAAGATATGGAGTCAGAAGGACTCCTTGAACAGAAAGAACAGCAAATAAAGCTTAAGCCATGGAAGACTATTCCATGCTCTTGGATTGGAAGAATAAACATTGTTAAAATGTCTATACTGCCTAGAGCAATCTATACTTTTAATGCCATTCCAATCAAAATTCCACCGGTATTCTTCAAAGAGCTGGAGCAAATAATCCAAAAATTTGTATGGAACCAGAAGAGACCCCGAATCGCTAAGGAAATGTTGAAAAACAAAAATAAAACTGGGGTTATCACGTTACCTGATTTCAAGCTTTACTACAAAGCTGTGATCACCAAGACAGCATGGTACTGGCATAAAAACAGACACATAGACCAGTGGAACAGAGTAGAGAGCCCAGATATGGACCCTCAACTCTATGGTCAGTTAATCTTCGACAAAACAGGAAAAAATATACAGTGGAAAAAAGACAGTCTCTTCAATAAATGGTGCTGGGAAAACTGGACAGCTATATGTAGAAGAATGAAACTTGACCATTCTCTTACAATGTACACAAAGATAAACTCAAAATGGATAAAAGACCTCAACGTGAGACAGGAATCCATCAGAATCCTAGAGGAGAACATAGGAAGTAACCTCTTCGATATCAGCCACAGCAACTTCTTTCAAGATATGTCTCCAAAGGTAAAGGAAACAAAAGCCAAAATAAACTTTTGGGACTTCATCAAAATCAAAAGCTTCTGCACAGCAATGGAAACAGTCAAGAAAACAAAGAGGCAACCCACGGAATGGGAGAAGATATTTGCAAATGACAGTACAGACAAAAGATTGATATCCAGGATCTATAAAGAACTCCTCAAACTCAACACACACAAAACAGACAATCATATCAAAAAATGGGCAGAAGATATGAACAGACACTTCTCCAATGAAGACATACAAATGGCTATCAGACACATGAAAAAATGTTCATCATCACTAGCCATCAGGGAGATTCAAATTAAAACCATATTGAGATATCACCTTACACCAGTTAGAATGGCCAAAATTAGCAAGACAGGAAACAACATGTGTTGGAGGGGATGTGGAGAAAGGGGAACCCTCTTACACTGTTGGTGGGAATGAAAGTTGGTGCAGCCACTTTGGAGAACAGTGTGGAGATTCCTCAAGAAATTAAAAAGAGAGCTTCCCTATGACCCTGCCATTGCACTACTGGGTATTTACCCCAAAGATACAGATTTGGTGAAAAGAAGGGCCATCTGTACCTCAATGTTTATAGCAGCAATGGCCACGGTTGCCAAACTGTGGAAAGAACCAAGATGCCCTTCAACGGACGAATGGATAAGGAAGATGCGGTCCATATACACTATGGAGTATTATGCCTCCATCAGAAAGGATGAATCCCCAACTTTTGTAGCAACATGGACGGGACTGGAAGAGATTATGCTGAGTGAAATAAGTCAAGCAGAGAGAGTCAATTATCTTATGGTTTCACTTATTTGTGGAACATAACAAATAGCATGGAGGACATGGGGAGTTAGGAGAAGGGAGTTGGGGGAAATTGGAAGGGGAGGTGAACAATGAGAGACTATGGACTCTGAAAAATCATCTGAAGGGTTTGAAGAGCTGGGGGGGTGGGGGGTTAGGGGAACCAGGTGGTGGGTATTGGAGAGGGCACGGATTGCATGGAGCACTGGGTGTGGTACAAAAACAATGAATACTGTTATGTTGAAAATAAATTTTAAAAAATGATAAAAAAATAATAAAAAAA